TCCTGGTGTGGCCAGAGATGTCCCAGTGGAAACCACTGGAACTGACAATATTGAAATGTGGGGGCTTCTGGAAAGAGTCCCCTGGCTTTTTCAACCAGGCTCAAAAATCAACCAGCCTGACAGAGTTTTTAACCAACTTGCCTGAATAGAATAGGGTTTCCGTAGGTGTATTCATTAAGACAGATTCTGAAAATCTATCTGAAGGGATTGCGCTTCCTCTCAGGAAGGGCAGTCCCTGCCAATCTAGTGTTAAGGCTCTAACTCCTGGCTCATGTTTTTTATGACTTCCTGCCTTGCAAAACATGTGCCTCTAATAAGAGTCATCTTCTACTGAGCATCTACGTGTGGTTCCCATGGAAGCACGGCCCATCCACCACCTCAGCTACTCCCCAGCTTGGAAAGGCAGGATAGCACAGTGAATAGCAGCAGATCTTCAGAATCAGGACTGGATTTGGAATAAAACAAGACTGACTGCTTGATGTTGACTTAAGCAAGTTGCTCAATTGCTCTGACTTTCACTTTTTGCCTATAAAATGAAGGTGACAAGAGCTCTTCCACGGAGTGGTTGTAAAGGTGAAGACACCGGCACACAGTGTATATCTATGTAAAGACCTTGTACATAGTAAATGCTCAGCAACTAGAAGTCTTCATCACTGAGTTTTCATTGTGGCAGCCTGGGAGGACTCTCTGGGTTCCAGTGTTGGGGGCTGGGTGATCTCGTCTAATTAACAGAGTAAAGATTTCAGGGGGAACTTGGCCTAAACTCATGGTCACTCAGATCAGCATCTTAGCTCTAGATGCTATTTTTCCTAAGGGATGAACAGGAAGTCAAAAAAAGGGAGACATGCAGAAGTAGCTACTTATAAGGAGACAGTAATAGGAAAAGAATTATAAGAAAAAGAATGAGTATGCCATTCAGTTAGAAAGTCCTGGAAAAGGGTGCCAGAATGATGCTATGTACTTTGGGGGCGTGGCCGATCACTGAGGGACCTCCTGCACTAAAATGCAGGATCTACCAACAGGTGAGAGAGACGGTAGAGAGCTTTGATGGATATGGTGCCCCCACAGGCAGAATTCTATATTTTCTAACATCTCACTTTCTAAATCCCACTAACAAAAGAATACCCATTTATTGTAGGCTTTCCTTGAGAGTATTTAATTACCCACGTGCTATGGATCTTGTTACAAAGCAGACAGATCCATGTGCATTCTCACCCCCAAGCCCTTGAAGTGGAGGAGCCCCCACTGATGCTAGAGGGTGCTTCTGGCTCCATGCTGCCTCTGGAGCTGATAAAAAAGGACTGGCAAGGCCGGGCATGGTGGCTCACGCCTGTAATCCCAGCACTTTGGGAGGCTGAGGTGGGTGAATCACCTGAGGTCAGAAGTTCGAGATCAGCTTGGCCAGCATGGTAAAACTCCGTCTCTACTGAAAATACAAAAATTAGCCAGGCATGGTGGCACATGCCTGTAGTCCCAGCTACTTGGGAGGCTGAGGCAGGAGAATCGCTTGAACCCAGGAGGCGGAGGATGCAGTGGGCTGAGATGGTGCTACTGCACTCCAGCCTGGGCAACAGAGGTAGACTCTGTCTCAAAAAAAAAAAAAAAAAACTGACAGGACTGATGTCATGATGTCAACTAAGATTCCGATGAAGACTCCCACCCTTCTTTAGAACAGGGGTCATCCATACTTGGCTCCTGGATAATCAGAGTCTGATTAGAAATACACAATAAATTCAGTGATCCAGGCCAGAAGGGCAATGGAATTACCTTACAAAGCAGGTGTTGGCTACTCATTTAGTCCTGAGAGCCAAAATGGGGCTATGCAGTGGCCAGGTGCCACCAGGAGGCCTAAGGAAAATGCCGGATGAGTGAGGAAAAAGGAATAAAGAAAGAGGATCCAGGAAGGGAGTCGCTGGAGTTGAAACAAAGGATAAAGAAAACAAAGAGAATTAAACACATACAAATGAAAATGACCCCACATTCGATGTTTTTCAATTATTCCCTTCCCTGGGATATTAATATGGGACCAGCTGCTTAGAGCTAGCACTTAGAGTTGAACTTAGTCTGCGCTGAAGGAAGAGAGGATGGTTCCCTGCCCTTTTCCAGAGATCCAAGCTGTCCAGAAGACTAAAGAGTCCCTGATGTTAGAAGGGAAGTTCAGGCCAGGTGCAGTGACTCAATCCCATAAATCCAGCACTTTGGGAGGTGAAGGCGGGAGGATCTCTTGAGGCCAGGAGTTTGAGACCAGCCTGGGCAACGTAAGTGAGACCCTGTTTCTACAAAAATTAAAAAAAAAATTAAATTAGCTGGGCATGGGGGCATGTGCCTGTAGTCCCAGCTACTCAAGAGGCTGAAATGGAAGGATCACTTGAGCCTAGGAGTTTGAAGTTATAGTGAGCTATGATTGTGCCACGGCACTCCAGCCTGGGGAACAGAGCGAGACCCTGTCTTTCTCTCTGTCTAAAAAAGAGAATCTCCATTTCCAAAGTCTTCCTGCACCCACCATCACCCCCACCATCCTCTAACCCAGATTCTTTGCTCCTGAAACTTTGCCTATTCTCTAAATAGGGAAATACACACAAGATACATTCCTGGAAAGAGAAGGCATCAGAAGTCTCGGCTTGAAGGGAATGGGAAGGAAAATCTGGCACCAATAGTGAATGGGGAGGACAGGCAGTACATGCACAGGAGGGGCAGGTGGTGCCACAGAACGAGTTAAGATGGGAGGTAAGGAGCATCAGACACAGTCATGGGCAGGGAAGGGTCTCCTGGATGTCCCCAGCAGCAGTGACCGAAAGGACAGGTGGGGACTGGGAATCACTTAGGTGGCTGTGATAGAGTCCAGTTCATTTGGAAGCAGCCTTAAGTCCACTGTTGGATAAATGCATGATCTGGCCCCCCGTAGCTTGGCTCCTCTCTCTTTCCACTCTTGTCCTCTTCTATCCTGCTGTACTCACACTGGCCTCCTTTGTACTTCCCCAATTCCCAACTAATTGGAAAGGCCTTCCCTGGCAAGAGCAGCTTCCTGCCGCTGCGCTCCCTGCTGCTTGCTTTAATTTTTCTCCTTGCACTTCCTGTAAATAATTTGTCTGTTTACCCCAGTGGAATGTGAGTTCCGTAAGGAGCTCCATAAACTCCCTATCTTCTAAATATTGCTTAGCACCTAGCAGGCCTCAGTTGACAGAATGCATGAACCCAAAGCCATCTTATTTATAATATGCATAAAGAGTTCTGCTGGGTGAAGTGTTGGGTGTTTTGGGTTGGATCACCTATAAGGGTAAGGGGTAGGGGAAAGGGTGGTGAATTACTGCAGTGGAGAAACCTTCCTAAGAATTGCTGTCTTCTGTTTGGAAATCCACATTTCCACCTTTGCTTTAAGGATTGTCGGGTTGTGGGAGCTGGCCTCCAAACTGGTCCTTGGCTCCTGGTATTCATACCTCCGTGTAGTTCCCACGCATTCAGAATCGGATATTGCAAAAATAATGGTGTGCAACCAATAGGATTGGTCATGAAAGACGCTGTGTCTTCTTCTGTCTTTCTCTTTCTCAGATTACCCACCCTGAGAAAATCCAGGCACCATGCAGCGAAGCCACTCAGCTATCCAGGGAGAAACATCATGGGGAGGAAGTGAAGCTTCTTGCTAACATCCAGCACCATGTGAGTGAAGCGTCTTGGAGGCAGATCCTCCAGCCCTAGTCAAGCCTTCAGAGGATGCAGCCCTGCCTGGTGGTGATGGCAACCTCATGAGACTCCAAGCCCAAAGCACTCAAGTTCTTAACCCAGCAGGGATTATGTGAGATTACAGATGTTTATTATTGTTTTTTAAGATGCTAAGTTTGAGAGTAAATTGTTTCGCAGTGCTAGGTCATAATCACAAAGTGGATGATGTGGGGAGCGGCAATCCCGGGTCTGAGTTGATAGACTATGGCCCAGAATGTATCTTTCAGTGACTAACTGTGCAGCCCATTTCCCATTCTGGAGACAGCTGGTCCCAATTTGATTCTGCAACTCTCAGTAGCCACAAATGCCACCTGTATCCTCAATAAACTTTATTTGGACACAAATAGAGACAACAGAAAATACATACACAGATACAGATATTTTTTTCTCTATAGGATGAACAAACATCACATAGGGAAATTTAAAAAGTAGGTGCATGGACTGTAAGAAAATATTGCACAGTTCCTTGTTTACTCACACAAGACACATATCTCAGAGGAAGACAGGAATACACTATCCCTACAACAGAATTCACATTTGGTCTATAACAGCACACAGATATTGGAACGGTCATCAAAGGAGTGAGGGATCCAGTGACTCCTGATGTGACAGAACACTCACAACACTCGTAGGACCTTGTTTAAACAAAAGACAGAATTGAGGAGGAGTCCATGCCCCCTGCACAGATGCTCTGCAAGCTGTCAGCTAGGCCGTAAAGCAGCTCAGCAGAAACTCTAGGTGAGCTTTCATCTTGAGGCTCAGAGGTCTGCATAACCTCTACCTTCCCGTCCACATCATCGAATGTTTACAGAGACTCACTTAGGATGCTGAAACTCTCCACATGCACACTGACTTAGATACGACAGTACAGAATGTTGACATCAGTTTATAAGATGTAGCTTTCAAAAGGAAAAGGAGTAATAGCCAAGAGGCGAACACACACATTGCAAATGTTGCTACATCCACCCACCGGCAGTGTTTTCCACCACACTCTCAGTGGTCCCCTCCCATAGGGAGCCGTCGGCATCTGTGTCCTGCTCCCCTCCATGGGTGGAGCGGGAGAGGTGTCTCTTGGAAGTCTATTGCCCTCTAAAGTCACACCTGTGACCTCCTGGTAACTCCTGTCAGAAGCCACGCATGTCACCAGGACAAGCTGCCATGGAACCACCCCACTCATTCCCATCCTGGACCAGCCTCTGGCCTCCACACCTTCTTCTCATTTCAGATGGGGGTTCCCTAGGCAACCTCTGTATTTTAGTAAAAAATGGTTTCCACTGTACCCTTGGTGTGTCCTCTTCCTAACGTGACAAATCCAGACGAGATGAAGTTATGGAGATCAGGTCCTCCACTTCGGTAAGCATCCTTCCCATAATGCCCTGCAAGAAGATGGGGCAGAATTACCTGGCACATCCACGACACGAACATGGAAGACAAGCTCAGCTGCATCTCACCCGACAGTGACGGAATGCATGGTTTCAAACCAGCAGCCAAGTTGGAAGGCGGAGGCAGTCAAGAATATATATACACACACATACATATATATATATATGATATATATTATATATGAAAAAATATATATTACTGAATATATATACATATATACATATATACATATATATAATTATATATACATATTATACATACTAGTATACATATTAGTATATATACGAATATATACACATATATTAGAAATTAGTATATATACTAATATATACACATATATTAGTGTATATACACATATATGTATATAAAACTGTGCAACAAAGAACAAAGTCCTGGGAACATTACATTGAAAGTAGAGAAGAGCAAAGGAGACGCATGACTTGATTTTGGCATTTCCGGCTGAGCACAAGGTACACCAGAACCTTAGTCCATTTGACCTACCGCTCTTTCCTTCATCTCACCTTCCCTCTGTCTCTTTCACGCATTTTTCGTTTGTTTGATCTTTCTAATGTTTATGAATCATACCACAACCTATGGGACTACAGCTTGTTACTTCAGAGAAATCTGACATCAGCTGAGGCTGACAAAGAGAATGGTGGTTACAAAATACTCAGAAAATATGTACGTGCTCTGCTTCCTTGACTTTCTGCAATAGACATTATTCCCTGCTTGCCTAATGCAGATATCTACCTGTGGGTTTGAGGGGAGGAAAAGACGAAGGGTGGGTTAGAGTTGTGAATAGAAATGCAAAGAGAAATATGTTAACATTCCACTTCTGACATTCAAAATAGAGTTTTTCAGTACGCTTGAAATCTGACATTGTAGTAAAGAAAGAAAGGCCTGCCTAAATTCCCTCCTAAAGTATGTACCTGTGAAAATGGAGAAAACCCATTTCTTTCACGTTACCACAAGAGTGTATTAAAAATCGTAGGTATAACAATGCACAGAATGACTTCAGATATAATGTTAAGTTAAAAAGTTGACAGAAATGGTTCATTAAATAGAATCACAGTGCTGTAAAAATTCAAACTGGTTTATGTGTGTGTGTGCACATGCACAGATCGAAAAAAAGCACACCAACGTATTGACAAATGTCTTTGGACGGTAGGAACACAAGTGCTATTTCTTCCATCTTTTCAGCTTTTCCATATTTCCAAGTGTTTTTCTGTATGAATATGTAGTTTGTCTCATACAGATAGGTAAAATAAAATCCTAATGAAAAATTTTATGAAAATACAAAGACAACATAAATCACAATTTTTTTTTTGGAGTGGGCCACTCTCTGAATGAGTAGATGGCAACTCTGGGTGCGTGCTGGAATCAGGGTTCAGAGGGCAAGGAGAAGGAGAGCATTAGGACAAACAGCTAATGCAGGTGGGGCCTAAAATCTAGATGACGGGTTGATGGATACAGCAAACCACCATGGCACGTGTATGCCCATGTAACAAACCTGCACGTTCTGTACACGTATCTTGAAACTTAAAGCAAAATTAAAAATAAAATGCAGACCCTCAGACTCAACTCCAGAGATTCTGATTCAGTTGGGTGGGGTCCGGGCTTAGTCAGGGATATTTTTGAAGAGCTCTCTAGTGATTCTAATGCGCCACCAGAGATGAGAACCACTGCCTTCGTGTAAATGGAGGAACACCTAAGTTCAGTTTATTCAGGCGGCTTCAGTGAATATCTCTTAGGTGCCGAGCTCTACCTACTATTTATGTTCAGGGCTTCAGCAGTCCTTCTCCGAAGAGTGGAGTCTGGCTCCACTTCCCTCCTCCTTATCCCACATCTCAAACCTAAGCATGCATCAGCATAGCCAGGAAAGCTTAAAACAGATGCTGGGCCCAACTCCCAGAGTTTCTGATTCAGAAGATCCAGGATAGGGCTCAAGAGTCTGCACTTCTACCAAGTCCCCTGGTGACACTGATACTGCTGTTCTGGGGACCACACTCTGAGAAGCGACGTCTTAGTGCATCAGGAACAGGAGAATTTTGCCACTGTTTCCCTCACGCCCTCCCTTCTGGAATAAATTACCTCCTCCCTCAGGGCACACAGCTTTCCAGGAGGAGGACTCTTGCTGTAAAATACTGTGGCCACAACCTTTACTTTTATAGAATAGATTTATTAGAACTGAACTAAGGCTTCTGCTCAGCTCCTAGGCCATGTGACAGTTCCTGAAACTGAACTCCAGTACCTGGAGAAATGCATCTTCATCAGGAGAAGAAGGGGGCAGTTAGGGGTGTGTGGAAGGGTTTGTTACCACCCCCAGGGAGAGCTGGGACCCTTCTGTAACTCTGTCACTTCCTCCCCACCCCCACCACTAACAGAAGACTAAGAAAAGGAAGAAACAATTCAGAACCCTCATAAATTTGGACTGCATTAATTCAGAACCTGTGATACATCCTGTAGAATCTGGACTGGTTTATTTTTGTGCTCCTTGTAAATAACATCATTGATAAGCAAATCAATACTGAGGAAGATGGAACATAGAATGACTACGGTGTCATTTACAAATCATTCTTATCTGTCAGCTGGAATGAGGTCCCTCAGGGCTAAGCCTTGCTCTGGTGCTCAGTGGGTGACGCTCGTCAGAAGGGAACTGAAATTTCTGGATCACTTACTAAGAATTAGGCAGAGAAACAGTCTCTGAAAACATGGCTTTTTTTCTTTTGACATAATAATAGCTAATTTTATTATTATTATACTTTAACTTCTGGGGTACATGTGCAGAACGTGTAGGTTTGTTCCATAGTTATACACTTGCCATGGTGGTTTGCTGCATCCATCACCCTGTCATCTACATTAGGTATTTCTCTTATTGCTATCCCACCCCTAGTCCCTCCCTACTGACAGGCCCTCGTGTGTAATGTTCCCCTCCCTGTGTCCATGTGTTCTCATTGTTCAACTCCTACTTATGAGTGCGAACATGTGGTGTTTGGTTTCCTGTTCTTGTGTTAGTTTGCTGAGAATGATGATTTTCAGCTTCATCTGTGCCCCTGCAAAGGATGTGACCTCATCCTTTTTTATGGCTGCAGAGTATTCCATGGTGTGTATGTGCCACAGTTTCTTTATCCAGTCTATCATTGATGGGCATTTGGGTTGGTTCCAAGTCTTTGCTAATAATAGCTACGTTTTATAGCATTTTGTAGTTTACAAAGATCTTTCACATATATGCATTACTTAAAATTGTAGTCAGTACTGTGTGGTAAGTTGCTGATTATTATGAGTTATTATTATGAGTTATTATTATTATCCCATTTTCTGATGGAAAAACAGAGGTCCTCACATCCAAGTGTTCTGACTCCAAATCTCATGCTCAATCCAGTGGGTGCACCTAGCTTCATTTACTCCTCACAAGAACCATGTGAAAAATGGTCACTTTCCCAAGTTCATGGAGCTAAGTGGTGGTAGATTCTGGTTTCAAAGCAGGCCTAGCTACCTTCAAAGTTCATGAACTTTCTACACTGCCACCCTGACCACCTCACCTCTGCGGCCTAAACAAGTATAGTTATGACTGTTCTCTGGGACAATGAGCAAGACACAGTAGAAATATTAGGTCTGGAGAATTTCACTTGGTGACATCCAAGTTCACAAAAACCGAAGCTCAGAAGTACTGAGGTTTCCAGTTGGGGGGAAAAACAAAAAGATGATGAGGCCTAAGGAGGCAGCACCAAGAGCATTTGAAAGGAATAAAGAATTCTTTGGTCAAATCAGTTTGGAAAATGTTTAGTTAAATGAAATGAAAAGCTGCATAAGAAGTCTAGGGACTTCTTGTAAGGGTGTGATCACTGAACTCTCTATGGAGCTTTTAGTTTTTCTAAGCCATCCCTTGGGACACTTTTTGGGAAAGCTGCTCATGAGGCTGAGGTGGAGAAATCACAATGATAGTTTCAACTTTTGTCTGAGCTGTGGTTCTCAAAGCTGAGCATGCAGCACACTTTCCTGGGTGACCCAGATCACTGGGTTCCGGTTCCAGGGTCCTGGATTTAGTAGGTCAGAGGAGAGACCTGACAATTTCCACTCCTAACAAGTTCCCAGATGATGCTGATAATGCTATTTGGTCCAAGGACAACTCTTCATGAACCACTATGTTTGGATCAGTGACAGGTCAGTCTTCCGCTGGACCCAGGGTCGAGGTCTAGAATGATCTGCATTCTCTGTAGCCTCCAAAGTTTAACATGAACAAGGGACGCATGAAGCGAAGAAGGGTGGTTAAAAGCGAAGCCCCATGCAGGCAGAGAGAAGAGAGGGGAGTCAGTGCCTCTTTGCCTTGGTGATGCATAGAGTTAATGGGTTGATGATATGAGTGGGTATCACGGGATTCGTCAGCTTAACACAAAGAACCACCCCCTTCCCTGTCCTACAGTCTCTGCCCTTCTGCGGTCTATCAGGGTAAGAGGACAAAAGACGGCAAACTTTGACCAAATTGAAATTCAAGAGAAACGTCCATATAAATCCAGCACAGCTCTGAACACAAGTAAGCAAAAGTTCCGTGAGGCATGAGCACTTCCACATCACAGAACAGACAAACACACAGTGTGTCCACAGCCAGGGGCAAAGGTGGCTTCAGGTTTCAGAGCACGCCTTCTACCACCTGCTGAACTGAATGGTGCAAATCAGCATCCTGGTGATGTCTATACATCTGGTTCTGTCACTGCCCCCTCACCTTCACCATTGACAACCTTCCCTAAAGCAACAGAGATTTTATTTTAGCTGAGTCACTGTCCAGGCTGCCTCGACCTCCTGTCGGAACTCCATGCCTTTCCTGAATCTCAGCAGAATTCAGAAGTCCTAGAGACAGCACCAAGGGACAACTGTCCTCAGGCAGGAGGCATATTCAAGCCAAAGAGAGGACTGAGGCTGGGCTCCTGGAGTGTGTGGCGCTGCTGGCTCTGATAAGCAAGCAAGCAAGCAGAGGGAAAGTTTCTCTGTGGAA